ACAGTGTGACCACGATGTGACGTACAATGGCACAGTGTGACCACTATGTGACGAACAAACGCACAGTGAGATCACGATGTGACGTACAATGGCCCAGTGTGACCACGATGTGACGTACAATGGCACAGTGTGAAAACGATGTGACGTATAAGCGCACAGTGTGACCACGATGTGACGTACAAACGCACGGTGAGATCACGATGTGACGTACAAGCGCACAGTGTGACCACGATGTGACGTACAATGGCACAGTGTGACCACGATGTGACGTACAATGGCACAGTGTGACACATGCAGACTGTACTAATGGACGATGTGGACGTAACGCATCGCCACAGTGTGACCACGATGTGACGTACAATGGCACAGTGTGACCACGATGTGACGTACAATGGCACAGTGTGACCACGATGTGACGTACAAACGCACAGTGTGATCACGATGTGTCGTACAATAGCACAGTGTGACCACGATGTGACTTACAATGGCACAGTGTGACCACGATGTGACGTACAAACGCACAGTGTGACCACGATGTGACGTACAAACGCACAGTGTGACCACGATGTGACGTACAATGGCACAGTGTGACCACGATGTGACGTACAATGGCACAGTGTGACCACGATGTGACGTACAATGGCACAGTGTGACCACTATGTGACGTACAATGGCACAGTGTGACCACGATGTGACTTACAATGGCACAGTGTGACCACGATGTGACGTACAATGGCACAGTGTGACCACTATGTGACGTACAAGCGCACAGTGTGACCACGATGTGACGTACAATGGCACAGTGTGACCACGATGTGACGTACAATGGCACAGTGTGACCACTATGTGATGTACAATGGCACAGTGTGACCACGATGTGACGTACAAGCGCACAGTGTGACCACGATGTGACTCACAATGGCACAGTGTGACCACTATGTGATGATTTGGTCAAGAATTTAATTGCGGTTGTCTTGTTTGGGCCAGACTAAATGACTTCGCGGGCCTCAAACCGCCAGCATTCTGGAGGTTCCCTATCTCTGGTTTAGGTAAATAGAAAACCTCCGTATGTTGTTACTGAAAGTCGTGTAATGATTATACACTGCCTGTTGGCCCTGGGGTATTGTGTTTGAATCCACACCAGCGGATTTGATTGTTTAAAAAATGAGCTTCTCTTCTTAGTCGACTTTGTCTAAAATGGGTACCAGGTAGCGACATGGGAAGTAAAGGTGGCAGGCGTGATGTTGACCACATCACCCATCTAAGGCCTATTGATCTTTAAGAAATGTAAGCGTAGCATGTATGCCTGATGCGCCACTGGCTTTAAATGGAAAAAGAGGGTGGGAGAAGTGTTGCCTTCATAGGTTTTGTATTTATTTAGAGAAAATTAACGAATGTTTCTTTAACTCATCACAGCTTGTTTAACTTTTGAAAACTTGAGCTGAGAATTTTAATGTATATAAACAGATGAAGATGCCACAGTCAGCAGTGACACTGTGAACTCATTCCAGACACCAGACCTAAGCTCCTGATCACAGAAAATTGTCCTTCACCATGTTTCATCTGCAGTATCCAGCCAGCCGACATTTTATGACTTGGGATGAACTTGGGTAAGTGGTCTAGTTTCTTCTCTGTCTCGATATGTTTCATCATAAATATATATATATATATATATATATATATATATATATATATATATATATATATATATATATATATATATATATATATATATATATATATATATAGTAGGGCTGTACCGAATAGTGATTTTTACTATTCGGCCGAATACGAATAGCGGGACCAACTATTCGGTTGAATACGAATACGAATACGAATAGTGCATTATTATCATCAGGTGCCTTGCCGACTGGCGTGATTATGGCTCGCCACAATCTGCGTTCTCCTGCAGTATGTATTAGTGCGTGTGCTGACACACCTACATGCCATGCAACAAGACTGTCAAGAATCTTCTCTCGTTGTCTTCCTCTATCCCTCCTACTGATCTTTCCAGTGGTCACCACATGTTCCATTTTCCCTCTTCTCATAACACGGCAGTCAAATTATGACTGTCCCCTTCTGATGTCTGTGATAAGTTGTCTTCGGGTTCCCGCCTCTTTCAAAACCTCTTGGTTGCTTTTTTTTTTTTTTTTATCTAAGGTATTTTAAGCATTTTTCTGTAAAACCACATCTCTGAGGCCTCAAGAAATTGTTTTGCTTGCCTACCGATTGTCCAGGACTAACAACCATATGTTAAAACTGGATGTATGTAGCAGGCAAGTAGGTCCGAATATTCACTTCGTATTCGCTTCGAGGCCGAATACTGGACCTAATAACTATTCGGTATTCGGCCGAATACTTGCGGTCGGGCCGAATATGAATAGTTGTTACCTTACACCCTTTTCTGCATACACTGTGATTGTATATATATAATGGAAACCTTTCCGTCTTTCCAGGCGATAGTGTTTTATTGCGCTGGGACTGGTTGTAAAATGTCATAATCTTAACATTACCATTATTTTCATTAATTTTACTCTTTTTTTAAACTTCAAAGTTAGCTAATTAGTTATTTAGCTAGTTAGTCGATAGATTATCCTCACTGCACAACAAACCATTTAGTCCATAAGTGTTCGGAACTCGTCTTCGGGTAATCCCGCAGTTCATAACACCAGTCCTGTGTCGGTTTCTTCATCGTATGTGTCTTTCGGCATATTGCTCTTATCTGGCAACACCCCTCTTAGTATGTTCTTGCAGATTCACAGTGGTCGCTTGGTTCTCGCAAACGGCTTACTTCTCGTAGAGCATTCAAACTATCTGCCTGGTCCCATGACTCGATTGCCCTCCACAGTAGCTTTACCTGCAAGCCTGCCAGCTTGCTCATTTTCTTGCTCGCCTGTATTCCCTGGCACAAATATGTTCAAATTATCGTTTCTAGCATGATTAGTTACACTTAGTAAAATATATTATGTTTAGTATGTTGTTGTTATACGTGCTTAAGTAACGTGTATCTTCATTCAATGTAACATAAAGTAACAATACTTACAGATGTATGTATTCCTGTATTCCCAGGTGTTTGAGTAGAGCACTGGGGGTAAGTACGTGTGCACAGGTGTGAGAGCACTGGGGGTAAGTACGTGTGCACAGGTGTGACATTGTTTAAAACATCACTTTATTTGTATATTATAATGTAGTAGGCTAGCTGTATGAAATGAACCAATCAGATCTCTTCAATAATATTTAGTAGTTTGCTTAACAGTATTCAAATAATATTTTGCTTAATAATCTTACCTGTCTTGGTGAGAAGGGATCACGAAATGCAGTATAAATTCCCCTGTTTGTCTATCTCTCTGTCTCTCTCTCTCTCTCACACACACACACACACATACACACACGCGCGCGCGCACGCACTTCTCTGTGTGTCTTCATTTAGCTGCAGTCTATTGAGTAGCTCGGAGTAAATTGCCTATTGCCGCCCCCCCCCCCCCCCACCCTGACCACTTACCCTTGATATACCAATAATCTCGGTAAAATTGGGAATCCTAGTTTAGGATCGTAATAATAATGTACTAAGTGGCAAACAAATATAATAATATATTTGAATTAGTTTGAAAATTAAAAAACAAATACCGTCAAAGTGAGTTTCCAACCTTCCCCCCCCCCCCCCCAATCCCCTCCCACCAATAAATAATACTTACTGGGGGCCCCACGAGGCCTGTCTAGTGTTCTAGCGCCCCTGCTGGAGGTGGGGGTGCAACACCCCCTCTTCAAGTATTTTTCCAGGCATCGTGCTGTGTGGTGAATTCTCTTTTCGTCGTGAAGACGGCACGTGATAATGATGCATGTGGTTGATTGAATGGTTGGTTCTAAGTCAATAAGTAAGTCACAAATGGTTGTTTTAAAAAAAACTGGAGACGATAACTGTTTACTAAAGACGACAACTTGAAAATTTTTTTTTTTTTTTTTTTACACACACACACTGTCCCTTTATTTGTCAACATAATCTCCACCAACATCGATGACTTGTCCCATCGTTTTGTCAGTCCTCCCAAACCATGTGCATAGAACTGCGTGCTCTGTTTTCTAACCAACATTTTCACTTCACATTCAACTTCTGCGCCATTAGCGAAATGTCTCCCGCCAAAGTGGGTTTTCAGTGGACTAAAAAGGTGAAAAATCGCTAGGGGCTAAGTCATTGCTGTAAGGTGGATGTTCTAGAAGTTACCACCCTAGATGTGACCTAGCATGTGACGCCGCATGTGACCTGGCATTGTCATGAAGGAGCAGTAATCCTCTAGTCAAAAGGCCTTCGTTAACAATTTTAGAGCGTCCTTGAGAAAAACAATTCTACCCAGCTATGCAGGATACACATTTTTCAGCATAAACAGGAAGCATTTTATTATGAATGTCCTTTGCAGGCAAACCTTTCCCCACCCCCACCCCTACCCCCACCAAAACACACACACACACAAACACACACAAACCGCACAACAGCCCCTTGTGCTTTGAGGGTACACTCCGTAAGTACAGTCACAATTTTGTTTCTGTGCTGTGAATGTGCATGCAACACCTAGCGACACCTAACGCAAGGAGACGTAATGTTCAGTGTTACTGTCGCCTAATGACACTTCAAGAAACCACCAACTACATTTTCCTGCCGTCACATAACCATTTGTTAACTTACTTATTGACTTCCCCTATTATGATTTATTGGTTGTCTGTTTGAATGATCGTTTAGGTGATTGATTGTTTGTCTAGTTGACTAGTTTATGTTTGCCTAATTGTATGACTGATTTGATTGCTTGCCTGATTAATTAAATGACTGACTGATTGTCTGATTGTCTGGTTGTTTGAATGTTGATTATTGACTGATTGATTGACAGTTTGATTTGATTGATTGATCGATTGTTGATTGACGCCATATGTATCTAGTTCACAGCAGACCTGTTCAAGAACTGCTCGTTCACTGATGACGTCAGCATCAAGTGCGAGGAGACAACGGAATGGAGATCAAGGTCAGTCATCACTCCCTGGGCACACCTGTTTCACCCACTGTCAATCAGTACACATTTAGGATATTTGAATTCCGCCATCCCCTGTGGAATCCGACGTCCCATTTCGGAGGCAAAAAGAATAGGCACCCACTTCATCCCCCCCCCCCTCACCCCCTCCCACACCCTCCAACAAGCATATCCTAAACGTCGATTAATTAGGGGTGTCATTCGAAGTCGGAGTGCATCTGCTTATCAAGCGAGGAACCAGCAGTCTGCACACAGATAAGTCAGATCAGTAAAATCACCGTGCGGGTTCTGGGGCCCTGTTATAGTGAAAACAAGAATAGACTCACTGCCTACCCAAAAGCATGTCGTAAGAGTCGACTAATTGGGAGTCGGAGTGCATCTGCCTGAGAGGCAAGGAATCAACAGTCTGCATACAAATTATTCAGATCTGGCAAACGGATGCACACGCAACACTCAGATTTTGGCATAGGAGGACTGCAGTCCAGAAGTGGCAGAACAACCAGAACTTTCCACCGGAGTTTACAGCTGGTGAACGCGAAGAAAATGAAGAAGAAGATAAGTAAAACTGAAGTCTTGGAACAAGACGGAAGTGGAACGAACAACCAGAACTTTCCGCTGAGGCTCGCTGGTGAGTGCGAACAAGAAGCAGAACTCGGTCAAGCCGACAGGAGTTGGCACACGGCAGCAATGGCCTTGACTATGCTTTTGTAAACTGTCTCTGGCACTTTCAAATGTAAACAGTTACTATAATACTTAGAAATACAGAGACAGGAGAGATGATAAATGTAAAAAGAAAAAAAAAAGGGGGGGGGGGGGGGCAAAGATAGAGTAGGAAAAGAGGACATGGGAAAGAGAAACAGGCGAGAAATGCGCATAGAGAAGCGCGAAGAACTGACAGGGAGAGTATAGGCTGAGAGGGGGCATGTAGGAGAGAGTGACGTAGCTAAGAGCAGAGAAAGGAGGCAGATAGAACGAGACACAGAGGGGACAGAGTAGGAGAGAGGGGCAGAGTGACAGAGAGTATAACGTTTAGAGAAAAAGCATTGCTGATGATGGTGATGATGATGGTGGTGATCATGATGATGATGAAGATGATGATGATGATGGTGATCATGATGGTGATGAAGATGATGATGATGATGATGATGATCATGATGGTGATCATGATGATGGTGAAGATGATGATAATGGTGGTGATCATGATCATGATGAAGATGATGATGATGATGATGATGGTGATCATGATTATGATGATGGTGATCATGATGATGATGAAGATGATGATGGTGATCATGATGATGATGAAGATGATGATGATGATGGTGATCATGATGGTGATCATGATGATGGTGAAGATGATGGTGATGATGATGATGGTGATCATGATGATGATGAAGATGATGATGATGTTTTTTCCAGAATATATTACGTGCACTTGAGCTGAACTTTCTGTGTATGGACCTTCACCTAACATACAACATGCACACAGCAGACTGGAATACACGTGTTATTCGAAACGCAATTAGTTTGTTGGTTCACAGAGTCTTAAAGTAAGTATTTACGAGTAATTGTCAGCATCATCATCAGTTTCTTCTTTTGCCGTTAAGCGACGTGGGGAGAAACAGTTTGCGATCCATTGCTTGATGGATAGCAATGGCGTTTTTCCTTCAGTGTTGATGTTGAAGCCTTTAATGTCATCAGTCTACATTTCTTAGGCAACCTCTTGCTTTCATTTCAGATTTTTTTATGTAAAGGTAAAAAAAAGAGAGGTAAAGTCGGGAGGTGTAAACCAGCGTCATTGCACACGGTTATAAACCATAAGTGCTTTGCCACCAGTACAGACAGCTGATAAGAATTGTCCGTCTGTGTCGCCCTTCGCTGTAGCTACAGCGACGTTCCTCCATTTACCCCATAGTGTCAACTCTTGTACCCATTTCCAAGAGGCTGGGTGAACCCGGGAACCGCCCGGTTTCGAACGCCGACCGTGGGCTGCAGATGCTCGAATCTTAGAGGAAAGACAAGATGGACGTTTAATCAGAATGCTACTGGCACCATTAGTATCGGAAACTCTTCCCTGGGTGCAGAAGATGGGGACGGAGCGCTTATGAGAACGCCCCGAGTGCTGTGATGTCGGTTCTTGAATCATATCAAATCAAATCAGTTATTGAATGTGGTGCTTTGATTCCAGTCTGATCTGATCGTATTATTTCTCACATGTATGTATGTGTGTATGTATGTGTATATGTATGTATGCATGTAAATATGTATGTATGTGTATGTATGCATGTAAATATGTATGTTTGTGTATGTATGCATGTAAATATGTATGTATGTGTATGTATGCATGTAAATATGTATGTTTGTGTATGTATGCATGTAAATATGTATGTTTGTGTCTGTATGCATGTAAATATGTATGTTTGTGTATGTATGCATGTAAATATGTATGTTTGTGTATGTATGCATGTAAATATGTGTGTATGTATGTATGTATGTATGTATGTATGTATGTATGTATGTATGTATGTATGTATGTATGTATGTATGTATGTATGTATGTATGTATGTATGTATGTATGTATGTATGTATGTATGTATGTATGTATGTATGTATGTATGTATGTATGTGTAGTTTTTGTATGTATGTATGTATGTATGTATGTATGTATGTATGTATGTATGTATGTATGTATGTATGTATGTATGTATGTATGTATGTATGTATGTATGTATGTATGTATGTATGTATGTAAGTATGTATGTATGTATGTATGTATGTATGTATGTATGTATGTATGTATGTATGTATGTATGTATGTATGTGCATGCATGTATGTATGTATGTGTATGCATGCGTGTATCTATGTATGTATGTGTGTATATGTATGTACGTATGTCTAAGTATTTATATATGTATGGATGGATGGATGTATACGTATGCATGTATGTATCAGTGACATAGAGAGAGAGAGAGAGAGAGAGAGAGAGAGAGAGAGAGAGAGAGAGAGAGAGAGAGAGAGAATTTCTTCTACGAGGCGCGGTATACACTGTGGCGTCCTGTTACCTCAGCTTCTCTCTTCATGTCTATAAGTGCTCATCATTACCAGCTGGCGTGTTTAACGATCTGGTTGTATAATGTATCTGCAGTTTCGACGGCCTCCGCGATGTCCGAGTGGCCTATGAGACATATGAACATACCGACATGAAAGGAATGGAATTGAACACGCTCGTTATATCGCGGGCTCTCAAGGTAATGAGATCTTTTCATTTCCAAAAATTACTATTTATATTACTTTTTATTTCATAATAATAATGCTAATAATAAACTTGCAGTGTCTTCTTCTTCGCTTCTTCTTTTTCTTCTTCTTTTTCTTCTTTTTCTTCTTCTTTTTTTTTTTCTTCTTCTTTTTTTCTTCTTCTTTTATTTCTCTTGCTTGCTTTCTTTCTTTCTTTCTTTCTTTCTTTCTTTCTTTCTTTCTTTCTTTCTTTCTTTCTTTCTTTCTTTCTTTCTTTCTGTACTAGGCCGGCCTTAGTAACAAGAAAAAAATAAAGAAAAAGAGAGAGTAGAGAGAGTAGAGAGTTCGTTTTGGTGGGGGAAAGATCAGAATATCTCACCCAGGCAAGAAATCTTCTGTGTAAAGTCTAGTATAGCCAAGCAACGAATAAACTAAACTAGTAAACTAACTAGAAGTCCTAAGCTGAAGAAAACAACTGTAACTATGAATACAACGTTGAACATAATTTTATTTAACTTCACATCAGAATGGCCAACAAATAACGACATTAACTACAACTACGTGCTCGACCAGCATCTCACATATATAGCGATCTACCATCTAACTATCTATTAGCAAGAATACAAATGAAAATCTACTTTAACCAACTGAACGTACCCCCCGCCTGGAATCGGTCAGACCACGAACGTTACCTGTGGTCTCCATGCACAAAGCATCAGTAGCTAGGTTAGGCTCCCACAGGTTGGTCCGGAAGTCAAAATAGGTCGCTGCAAGACTAAACAAAATCTTTTATATCCAGCGAGCCAGATTTTTCCCCACCTTCCGTCTAACTCTATTAACTGCCAATGCTTCTCAAATGGCCGGTTGGCCATTTTCAAACCAGAATAAACCTTCTAAGATCTTTAATCTGCTGTACTGTAGTCTTCGTCGCTTCCACCCTATTACATTTCTTTCGTTCTTTCTTTCTTTCTTTCTTTTTCTTTCTTTCTTTCTTTCTTTTTCTTTCTTTCTTTCTTTCTTTCTTTCTTTCTTTTTCTTTCTTTGTTTTCTTTTTCTTTCTTTCTTTCTTTCTTTCTTTCTTTCTTTTCTTTCTTTCTTTCTTTCTTTTTCTTTCTTTCTTTCTTTCTTTTCTTTCTTTCTTTCTTTCTTTCTGTTCTTTTTCTTTCTTTCTTTTCTTTCTTTCTTCTTTCTTCTTTCTTTTCTTTCTTTTCTTCTTTCTTTCTTTTCTTTCTTTCTTTCTTTCTTCTTCTTCTTCTTCTTCTATTTATTCTTCTTCCTCATCCACCTTCTTCTCCTCTTCTTCTTTTTCTTTTTCTTCTTCTTTTTCTTTTTCTTTTTCTTCTTTTTCTTCTTCTTCTTCTTCTTCTTCTTCTTCTTCTTCTTCTTCTTCTTCTTCTTCTTCTTCTTCTTCTTCTTCTTCTTCTTCTTTTTTTCTTCTTCTTCTTCTTCTTTTCTTTTTTTTCTTTTTTGTCTTTTCAATTTTACCTCGTTCTAGTAATAATAATAAAAATAATAATAATCCTGCATTGGCCCTTAAAAGGCCTCTGTGCATGTCGTTTTCGGTTTTCAGCTAGGCTGTGATAACTGCACCTTTGGGGCTGAGATATTTAATTCATGCAAGTTCCTAATTTGTCTCTGTTACAAAATTATTGATAAGCGAAGTGTGTCTATTCTTCTCCCGCCCCCGCCCTACCCTGCCCCAAGTGGAAGCCTCTAGTCCCACGAAGATAAAAAATATACTAGAAGATGGTTGCCGTTCAAATGTGCTTCTTTGGGAACACTGTCTGTTAACCTCCCATTCCGCGTTGCCACTCTCATACCATTGTCGAAAAGCTATGAGAACGATGTTTTTTTTTTTCCTAAATCTCCTCTCGCGGAATTCACTTTAGTCAATAATACTTTACAACTATTTTTCAGCCAATTAAATAGTCTATTTCGCTATTGTTCAGAGATTTAGTGGCATCTTCTTCTGCTTCTTTGCGCTGGTCCCTCGCCTCTCAGGCAGGTGCACTGCGACCCGATGAAAACATCTCTAATTGGGTGTCTTTTATAACGTGCTTTGTGGGGGGGTGGGCGGGAGTGGGTTTATTTTCATCTCAAAATGGGGTCCCAGAATCCACACGGGGAATTAAGCGTTATAAAAGTAAAGGTCCCTTTTCCACGTCTTTAGGCGTATAGGGCATATAGGGCTAGACCTATATTTTTAAAGACCAATCGACACAAGAGGGGTGATGTGGTCAGCATCAAGCCGGCCCCCTTTACTTCCTGGGACTGCACCTGGTACCCACTTAAGGCTGCATTGATCTGGGAGTCATATTCACCTTTGAAAGAAGTCCAGCTCCTCTAGCAAGCGAACCCACGATCTTCCGATCCGCACGCGAGCGTCTAGCAGCTACGCTAAGGCGACTCCAAATTTAGCGTTATGCTAGTTGTTATTGTGTAGTGGTTTGTTGGCAGCCTTGCCGTCTTTCCAGACGATAGTATTATACTGTGCTACAGTGAGACATAGGAATCAAAACCAATTCAGGCAGTACCATTGCACTAAGTCTAGGTAGTATTATCGAGACTATCTGGTGCTCATGCTGTCTGATCTCTCCCCCCATCCCACCCAACCCCCGACCTGCCTTGTTTAATTCAAAGAACATGTAACACCAAAACAAAGCAGGCATGCTGCACAAGCTGTCTGTCCTCCTTGTGGAGCTTATCTCCGAGACCAGCTGACAACCAAACCTAAGGGCCTGGTCTGCCATATCACTAAGTTTTCAAGTTGCCTCTCCGAGACCAGCTGACAACCAAATCTAAGGGCCTGGTCTGCCATAACACTAAGTTTTCAAGTTGCCTTTCCTCGTTTTAGGATAAGGCTAGCATCCCTCCCTATCATGTTCCTATCGAAGCTACTGACACAAGAGGGTGCTAGGTTTGGTTTAAACCGCCCAACAATCAGCATTAACAGAGAACAGGTAGCACTGACAGTAGCTCAGTCCTATCTGATCCAAGACCTGACAAGTATTGGACGGTATTCATTCATCCAGAATTGAACGTAATATATTCAAAGCGCGAGGCAAATGGTTTAGCCACGTCCCCACATATAATTTGTATGCTTTGTCTTTGAGTTCACCTGCTTAGACAAAAACTGGCGGGAAAATCTGGCTGTTCATTCACTTCTAACCTTTGGTCTTGTTTCACAACAAGAGTTTCGCATGCAAATCGTTTTACACGTCTGGCTCATTTTAATAGAGACTGTTGATCCCTCGTTTCTTAGGTAGATGCACTCCCACTTTGATGGCAACATTCGTAATTAGTCGTCACTTACGACATGCTTGTCAGGGGGTAGTTACCCCCCACTCCCACCTCACAATAGAGAACTTTTACAAACCTGAACCTCATTGTCTCACATACAAATTGACTGATACTTTTCTTTGGCAGCTCTGTGGGCGTGTCATCGCCCCGCTGAAACTGAATCATCGGATCAAACACATGAAAGTTCACTTCCTGGAGCCAAACCGCATACAGCTTGATGAGTTCTTCAGACTCGTGCTATGGTAATGGCAGAAGTTGAAACAAGCTTTTGCACTTCTTCTAAACCTTCAGAAGCAAAGTCGTTGTCTCTTTTTTGTCTGCGGTGCACAGGGCACGTGATATTGGGTTCATTATCATCATAATCTTTATCTTCTTCTTCTTCTTCTTCTTCTTCTTCTTCTTCTTCTTCTTCTTCTTCTTCTTCTTCTTCGTCTTCTTCTTCTTCTTCTTCTTTCTTCTTCTGGGTTGCAAAGTAAATAATGGAGCGGCAAAGTAAATGGGGGGGGGGTGGGGGGGGGGGGGGTTGCTTCAATCCCCTTATAATTTATAACTGCATAGGGACTCAACAAGTCTCTCTCACAGGTCAGGTCACAAAACTGCCTCAGAGCCCAACCAAGCTCTTGAAGACTGGTTCTCTAGATTGATGACACAAATGTCTGCCAATGTCCACTCGTCCTGGAGCTCACAAACACGCTCTTGCCATGTTGAGGTAGTGGCATAAAGGGCAGGACTTCTGGTTATGCTTGGTGCATAGAATGGTATGGGTTGGTGGTTGTTGGCTGGACTGTGATTCGTCTGCCCGATCTCTGTCAGGAAAGAACTCAGAATTAGTAATCAACTAAGGAGATATCTCCTGTCAGGAAAGAACTCAGAATTAGTAATCAGCTTTAATGACACATCAGCTCACCCCACCTCTGCTCCCCTTCTCCATTCCTCAGAGTGTACTCTCAAGACCAGGAGACAATGTCTCCTTTCATTTAACTGTCTGGAAACTAGTGCAACAGATAGAAAACCAGATATATAGTGGAGATAGATAGACACTAACACACATAGATCATCCTCTCTCCACCCTCACATCTGCACTCGCAGATATACCATGCTTAAAGTTAGTACCTATATATATTCCGTCTCCACAGGCCATTCACTACACACCTACTGAATCTGTGTCAAACACACTCGACGTGGAGCGCTTAGCCCTGCAAAGCCGGTTAAAGATGACCTAAATTCCCTATTCAAGTTAATGCGGCACAAACTTCGTTTGACTGGTCAGAGAACAATTACTTGTAGGGTTTAATATCTTTACAAATGGTGTGGGTTATGTAGCGCACCAACTAATTAGTCTGTACAGGGGAAGGTCTAAGGTTCGGATTCTGATCTCTGGACATCAAGAACGGTCGAACTCTGTGCGATCACACAGCTGATTCTGCCCTCTCTGCAGCAGTGGCCAATTTTAAAAAGACATCAATTATGGTACTCGTAAACTATAATCAACTTACCCAAGCTAAGGAAATCTTCCAAGATAGAAATAGAACTTTGAATGCGCAAAATTTCGGTTTACGAGAATTTCTAAATAAAATACCAGAATTCGCCAACCTATAGTTGCAAGTTTGAAAATGAAGATTTATCAAAGCAACTAGAAGGTCTAGAAATGAATATTCTACCAGATAAAGGTATAGATCAATATAAGGGACTATATACCCATACTTCAAGAGCTGAATATTGAAGAGGGTTGGCTAGTAAAGACAATAAAACAAAGAAAATTGAAATATTTTGGTCACTTGAAACGTCATGGAAGTCTAGAGAGAACAATAATGGAGGGGTATATGCCTGGGAAGAGAGGAAGAGGAAGGCCAAGGAGAAGATAGGTGCAGGATGTGGCAGATGATCTCCAGATGGGTACTATCAGACGCAGGACATCTTGGCTCAGGATAGGAAGGTTTTCCGGAGGGTTGTTATGACGGGGGGGGGGGGGGGGGGGGGGGGGGGTGGCAGCGAGGTTCCGCGCGGGGACATACGGGATGAATGAATGAATATACCCTTCTGGACGGGTTCAAGTTTGAAATTTTACTGTCCGCGTAGGGGACTTCAGAATCCCGACTCGTCCATTGTGTAGGGTAGCTGCTCACCTCACGACATACGGGATGATGATCTCAAATTTCGATAATGTTGTAGGTAAAATATGTCTTCTGTTTTATGTTTTAGATAATGTTGCCAAAATTGGATTTCTGTCATAAAGTTAAATAATGCTGTGGATAAAATTTTGCTTCAGTCATATGTTTAGACAATGGTTAAAATAACGACTTCTATCATGTGTTTAGATTATGTTGTGGTTAAAATATCATTTCTATCATATGCTTAGACAATGTTGTATTTACAATATGACTTCTGTCATATGTTTAGATAATGTTATGTTCAAAATATGACTTCTATGATATGTTTAGATAATGTTATGGTTAAAATATGACTTCTATGATATGTTTAGATCATATTGTAGTTAAAATATGACTTCTATGATATGTTTAGATAATATTGTAGTTAAAATATGACTTCTAACATATATTTAGATACTGATAAGGTTAACTGTCTGTCATATGTTTAAAAAATGTTGTAGTTAAATAATCACTTCGGTGATGTCTTCAAATAATGAAGTGTATTATAATTGTAATTGATGTTTCAGGTGCGACCTCTACGTGGCCTACAGACATGGGGATGCAGAGACTGCATCGGGGAAAGATAGAGATCTCTTTGAGGTAAGGACAGCCTATGTCTTTCTACATTATTATATTTACACTGAGTGGGTGGGACCCGTGGTGGCGTAGTGATTAGACGTTCGAATACCAGCCCCAAGGTCTATGGTTTGAATCTTGGACAGCGTAAGTCTTTCTACATTATTATATTTACACTGAGTGGTTGGGACCCGTGGTGGCGTAGTGATTAGACGTTCGAATACCAGCCCCAAGGTCTATGGTTTAAATCTTAGTCCCTTTTTTTTTCTTCAAAACTGGCCTTAGATTCCCAGGTCAGCACAACCTAGAATGTGTACTAGTAATGCACTGGGAATTAAAGAAGACCGGCCTCACCTTGACCACAACTGCTGGTTGGTCTATCGAAATAAATGTCTTGCCCTATTTGGCTGATGTGCCAAAAAGCATACAAAGGATACTTTATTAAAGAGACACTGTATTGGTTGGCACTCATAGAAAGAAGTAGTAAGATAGAAGGATACACTAGACAACATGACAATCGAAAGCTATAGTTACCGTGCCGGGAATCTAACCTGTCATCTTCACATGACGTCTGCGCCTCGCTATGGAAACAAACGCACTAAGAACATGCCAAGTAGGCACACTCCCCCCCCCCCACCCACCCCCTCCCCCCAAAAAAACAGGTGTCCACATTGGCATGTCTATCGTACAGCTTGAACTCCACAACAGTTTAATCCGGAAAAAATTCTTTTTAAACCCCATAAATGATACCATAGGTTACATAAGTTTATATTAACGAAGCATAGGTCGAATAACAAACACAGCAGCAATTTACAAACTCAGCAAACCGTAATGCTTTGTCTAGAATAGAGGGACATGCAATAAAGAGATTTGATTGGTCGGTTCATTTGTGTTACACATCATTAAAGGAGACTTTAGAAACAGAGAGATAAAAGAAATTACCATATGTTCCCTTGCATAAGACGATACGTTTTCACAATAATACTTTTTTTTTTAAATCAGTTTAAAGATACGGGTTGACTATTACACGGAATGTGTTTCAAATATTTAGTTCTTAATTTTGAGCTGGGGAAACAAATAAGGGTTGTCCTATACACGAGGGCTCGTTTTACTGCGGACAGATTCGGTATGTAGATAGATAGTTGCACGTAAACATTACTATCTAATTCTACTTGGTTAACTCTTTGAGTCCCAGGGGATTCAGCATCACAGGTCGAAGGAGGGTTGAGAGAGACGTAAAATCTGCGCATCGTGCGTTCGCTCTAGGTAGGAATCTATGAACGTATGATGCGTTCCTTGGGACTCGAAGAGTTAAGAAAGCCGTGACTACAACCATATCTTACATTTACCATGATGGAGTGCAAGCGGGCTCCACAGTCTGGGCTACATTATCATCATCATTATCATCGCCGCCACCAGCATCATCATCATCATTTGTATCATCGTTATTAGTATCATCAGCAGTAGCAGCAGTATCGTCATTACCATCATCGTCACCACCACTACCACCGCCTTCCTCATCACCATCGCCACCACCACCACCATCATCATCATCATTATTACCATCATAATCATGAGCCGTGCTGATTAGCATGTAGAGTACGCTACCTCACAGCCGATGAAGCCTGTGTTCTCGTGTCAACTAATTCACTTTCACAACATTATCCAGGTGGTAGACTTTGCTAAACTACTAAGCCACCATGACGAGCGGCTGGCCAACAGGCTCAATGTCCAGTTCTTGCAGGAGGAGAGAAACTATGAGACCGAGAAGCTAGGACCTACGGACATGTTCCAGGACAGTACGGTCAACACGGAGCTGACCACAGAACAGGTATCCTCAATCATCCTCATCATCATCATCATCATCATCATCCTCATCATCATCATCATCATCATCATCATCATCATCATTCTTTTTCGCCTTTATACGGCACAAAGGGCTCCCAGTCTGTTCTCCTGTTGTTTTCTATTCCGTGAAAATGTTTCAGCTAAGCCATTTTATAAGGCACACATAGCCTAGTCACAATTACAACCTAAAGCTCTTCCTTCGGGAATGCTCATTGACGATTTTTTAGGGTGAGCAAAGCAGTGGAACGGAAATTGAAACTGAGTATGCAGAATAGTCTGTATATTAATCTGTTTGTTTGTTTGTCTGCGGCATTATCAATGTATATATCTGAGTGTGTGTGTTTATGTGTCTGCAGATATGTCTAAGCCAAGGGGCGCAGCTGCAAAGTAAATTATTGAGCAGGGGAGGGGGGGGAGGGTCTTCAATACACTTATGATTTATTAGGCAACTGGGGGCAGCTCCTCGGCTGTCTTGTTAAATGTGCAATAATAATAGGTTTTGTTATTATTAAGAGCTAATTAGTAACTAAATGTAATAATACATTTGAAATAGTATGAAATTATAAACAAATGCATAAAGTCTCTACTTGATTTAGGGAGCGTTACTTTGAATTCGAAAAGGTTGCATAGGGTAAAATAGAATCAATGAGTCTAGTGCCAGACCTGTGTGACGTTTAAATTGTTCAACATGATGATGATGGCTTCGATATCTTGGACGAAAAAAGTTAAAATATAAATGCGAAGTGATGCTTTGAGATAAGGAATGTAGAAAACAGTAAATTTTTGTCTAACAGGTACAGCTACAGAAAGTAAATTATGAACCTATCAAATTCGGGATCAGCCAATCAGAAAGACGACTGCTTACAGTAATTGCAGGGAATGTAAGATCTCGACCAATCAGTTTCCCTGAATTTGACAAGTATCGCCAATCAGAAAAATTTAAAACATCGCCTGATTTGAGAGGCCAATCAGCTTCTGTGTCTGTTCAGAAACGGCTTCATTCGGCTCCTCCCACGAGTAAGTTTGTATGCTTCTTATTCTTTTTATCATCGTCAAATACCTGGTCAACTGTAACTGTCTTAAGATCTTATCATATCAGGCATAATAAATAAATTTAAATGGAGGTTTTTCCCAGGTAACCAGTATCTCAAATTGGGAATAAGAGTTGCACTGGGCGAAAGAGAAAAATCAAGAAGACAAAGTGACCCCGCTCTCTTTCTCTCTCTCTCTCTCTCTCTCTCTCTCTCTCTCTCTCTCTCTCTCTCTCTCTCTCTCTCTCTCTCGCTTTCTCTCTCTCTCTCTCTCTCTCTCTCTCTCTCTCTCTCTCTCTCTCTCTCTCTCTCTCTCTCGTCGATGCTCCAACACTCTGTATACTAAAAGTCTTCACTCGCTTGTAAAAATTTCCTCTTGTAAGGATTATATAAATTTTACTGTGTGCATTTACCACATTTTAGAACAGTTTAGGTCGAGGGCGGAGGGGAGAAGGAGTGTAAAGTCTAAGGATTTAATATCTCCACCAAAGGGGGAAAAAACCTACATAAAAATTGCCAAAGATTCGAATCCGGATCTCCAGCACAAAAGTACTTAAAATGTACTTGAAAGTACTTAAAAGTCTCAACTACTGGGCCAGGCGTTCGTGGAGATTGATAACCTAATTTAGTATCTATGTGTCCGTCTGCACGTGAGGGCCTAAAAATGTGCTTAAATCATCCTCAAGTTTTAGAGACTACCAGGCAACCCACGCCACGAACTGTAGCATCACGTGATCTCAGGGACTTACAGAGCAAGCTGGAGAACCTCCTGTTTGATATGAGCACTTTGGTAAGTTGTCTTTCACTCCTTTTTGTCTGTCATATGAGCACTTTGGTAAGTTGTCTTTCACTCCTTTTTGTCTTTCATATGAGCACTTTGGTAAGTTGTCTTTCCCTCCTTTTTGTCTTTCATATGAGCACTTTGGTAAGTTGTCTTTCACTCCTTTTTGTCTTTCATATGAGCACTTTGGTAAGTTATCTTTCACTCCTTTTTGTCTTTCATATGAGCACTTTGGTAAGTTGTCTTTCACTCCTTTTTGTCTTTCATATGAGCACTTTGGTAAGTTGTCTTTCGCTCCTTTTTGTCTTTCATATGAGCACTTTGGTAAGTTGTCTTTCACTCCTTTTTGTCTTTCATATGAGCACTTTGGTAAGTTGTCTTTCACTCCTTTTTGTCTGTCATATGAGCACTTTGGTAAGTTGTCTTTCACTCCTTTTTGTCTTTCATATGAGCACTTTGGTAAGTTCTCTTTCACTCCTTTTTGTCTTTCATATGAGCACTTTGGTAAGTTGTCTTTCACTCCTTTTTGTCTTTCATATGAGCACTTTGGTAAGTTGTCTTTCACTCCTTTTTGTCTTTCATATGAGCACTTTGGTAAGTTGTCTTTCACTCCTTTTTGTCTTTCATATGAGCACTTTGGTTTTGTCTTTCACTCCTTTTTGTCTTGATGCACTTTGGTAAGTTGTCTTTCACTCCTTTTTGTCTTTCATATGAGCACTTTGGTAAGTTGTCTTTCACTCCTTTTTGTCTTTCATATGAGCACTTTGGTAAGTTATCTTTCACTCCTTTTTGTCTGTCATCTACCTGCGGAGCATAGGCTCTCGCTCACTTCAGTGTCGTGCCATTTAAAGGCAATTCTTTCATCAACAACAGATTACACAATTTACTGCCTGGCATGTTTGGCTGTATCTCGTCAGACAGTAACAGTTACATAAATGAAGCAAATAAGTAAATTTAGGAATGTAATTGTTATTGTAGTATGTATGCTTGGAGGCCCCTAGCCTCCGGAGATGTGATTATAAAGAAGAATAGGTCGTATTTCATAGTTGGGGGGGGGGGGGGGGGGTCATATACTGAAGAGAAGGCTCTGAAGAGACGAAATGAAAAGTGTTGCTGAAATTTAAAAAATAGAAATATTTCGGCAACATTAAAAAATATATATATACTCAATAGTAGGAGGTAGATAACGATACAACTAGAAGGCGGGGAGGGGGGGGGGGGGAACAATATCATAAGATGGACGAAAAGCAGCCTGAGAGAATGTACAACCAAGTCGTGAGTTAAAGTGAGTGTGTTAAAGATCCATTTCTACCAACCTTCGTTGCGGAGACAGCACCTAGTTGACTGTTTTCTCGTTATCTTTATTTTGTTTCGTCCTCTGTTCAAACCTGTTGTTTTGATTTTCTGTTACACTTACATCCAGTTTTTCTTGTAAAAGCTGACAGCTAATTTCTCATACGGCAGACGGGCTTTGGTATCATTTGTTGGAACAACTTTTCTGTTGTCTAGGAAACCAGATGCCAGGTGCAAGTGGAGAATGAGATGATGTTTTATATTCCCGAATATTCACAGAAACTGGCCAACAAGCCGCCAGATACTGGTAGGATGCGCATGATTCTTGATTGTGCTATTCTTGTTATTCTTCTCCTGCTTATTTTTCTCCTCATCGTTGCTACTACTACTACTACTACTACTACTACTACTACTACTACTACTACTACTACTACTACTACTACTACTACTACTACTACTACTACTACTACTACTACTACTACTACTGCTGCTGCTACTGCTACTGCTACTACTACTACTACTACTACTATTACTAATGTTATTAAAACTATCACTGTTGCTGAGTGCTATTGCTACTACTGCTACCACCATCAACAACACCCCTAAATACTACAGTTGCTGCTACTGTTATTACAACCACTGCTCCTGCCTGTGCAGACACGTATATGTGACAGGTGTTTATGTGAAAGATATATTTATACAGAGAATAAGACAGACAGACGGCCGTACCGACCGGCGGACGGACGGACAGAGGAACGGACGGAGGGAGGAACGGACGGAGGAAATGACGGATGGACAGATAGACTGGTAGGTAGGTAGGTAGATAGGCAGGCAGGCAGGCAGGCAGGCAGGCAGGCAGGCAGGCAGGCAGGCAGGCAGGCAGGCAGGCAGGCAGGCAGGCAGGCAGGCAGGCAGGCAGGCAGGCAGGCAGGCAGGCAGACAGACAGACAGACAGACAGACAGACAGACAGACAGACAGACAGACAGACAGACAGACAGACAGACAGACAGACAGACAGACAGACAGACAGACAGACAGAGAGAGAGATAGATAGATAGATAGATAGATAGATAGATAGATAGATAGATAGATAGATAGATAGATAGATAGATAGATAGATAGATAGATAGATAGATAGATAGATAGATAGATAGATAGATAGATAGATAGATAGATAGATAGATAGATAGATAGATAGATAGATAGATAGATAGATAGATAGATAGATAGATAGATAGATAGATAGATAGGCATGTGACATATGTTTGGTAAACATCCCCAGCGGAGACGCCACCTCTACGACCCGTGAAGAAAAAGCGCCATTGGACCAGCGAGATTATCCAAGGCCTTGTCCACCCCTCCACGGTAAAATCTGTACACACCAAAACGTGCGATGCCAGGTACGTTGAGGCATGCATCCCCCCTGTCTTATAGTGTAACATGACCGAACGAAACAGTCTACATCAGGGCTATGTTATGTTATCACAGTCGACGTCACTGCACATTGGGCAATCTTATACGTGATCAGTCCTCCGGTGCAGCATCCACTTCAAGATAATTCTACTAATTGTACCAGTGAGAAGCTAGTTATAATGTTTTTTATCTCGGCATCGAAGACGGTATAGTCGTTCTTTACCGTGCTTTACTCCCATGTTACGCGCTCTTGTTAGCGTCAGGGATTCCTCATTAGCCCAGTCCGGACAGTGTTGACGATATCTGCTCCGTCCATGCTTCTTCTCACATGCCTTGGTGCATTTGCCAAGTGGTCCGCTCGTTAATTACCTTTACGCCAGCATGACAAGATGTCGACCTGAGACCCAAGAGATTGGGGGGGGGGGGGTGGCGGGGGGGGGGGAGTCCAGCTCCATCAGGAACCGAATCCACGACCTTCCGATCCGAAGTTGAGTGTGTAGTCGCTACACCACGGCGTCAGTCACTGGGCTGGACATATGGCTGGACATATCTTTTATAGACCAATCGACACTGGGTTTAAAGGGGTTAAAATAATAACAGCATTGGACAAATGGGACTGGATATGTGACATCAAGGATTAAAGCTACAGTTAGATAGGACACAAGACACTCGGGAAGCATGGCATGCCATGAATCTCCAGTAAATGCATACAGTTCTTGGGAATCGAAAGAGTTTGCCGCGATGGTTAACCCAGTCAACAAATTCCTGCAGAAGTCGGATGTATGTCAACTGAAAGGTGCAGATATTGCAGACATGGTG